TTTTTTTTTTTTTTTTTTTTTTTTTTTAATTAAAAATCCAAACAGGATGGGGTGGAAAGAATTTGGAGGGGGGCTGGAGCTGGAGCCACTGTATTATTAACTATTATTATTAATTTTCAATACAAAAATGAATGAGCTGGAATAGACCCGATTGTCATACTCTGTGGAACCTTGCAAAAAAAGTGAAGAAATGTTGAAAGGTTTAGTTGGAGCAGCTGGCTGATGTCAAAGCTGCCAGGATGCTAATTAACTGCAGGCTGTGTCCCTTATTTCTGTATTTAAAAGGAAAAAGAAAAAGCCTTTGTATTATGGCATTTTTTTCTTTGCTGCTGTAGTCCTACATCCCACCGCAAATCATCTTTCATTTTTCATTCTGTTGACCTGGATATTATTTTATTTCTTTCAGAAACAGGAAAAAAAAATTGAACATCTGTGTCTCCTTCCAATCTGCTGCACATCTGCGCGTTTTGATGCGGGTCTTCAAAGTTCAGTCAGTAACCCACGGACGCCATTCATCTTCTTGTTAAAATGTCTACTGCTGTATCCAATGCTCATGCCCTTGAGGGTTATTTTTTTCTCTCTTTCTCTTTTTTTTCTTTTTTTTTTCTTTTTTTTTTTTTTACATTTCCGTTATTTTTATAAAGAACGTTGTGACTTAATATTAGCATTTTGCTTTCAACAGCAATTAGCAATCTCTTGGTTTGCTGTTTGGTAAAGCATCTGTTAATGAGGTCATCTAGTTTAAAATCCCAGCTACTGGAAAATAACAGGGAGGAGGTCAAATCTATCATTTTGTGTTATATTCTCTGCTCTCTTTTCAGTTTTCTAAAGAAAAGATATCTTTGTTATCCACAATAAGTCATTATGACCCGTTACTGGCCTTCTGTTTTTTCTACCACCTCAAGATACAGTAAGTTCTTTCTTATTGAAGTACTGAAATATGACAGTTCAGTTAAAATCTTTGCGCATCTGAGGATGAGGAATTGGTTTCATTTTGTGGTGTGTTTTTGTTTTCAGAGTTTTGAGTTCAATTTTAGCGAGGAGTTGCCTCTATGGTGGATGGGGTTCCTGGGGTGGTGGACCTAGGAGTGGCTGCTGGTGGGGTGTCGATGGGGCTCCCGGCCCCACTGCTGGGCGTCACTGAGGAGCTCACTGCTGGTGTCTCTCCTTGCTGCTGGGCTTGGAGGGTCTGTCCACAGATGTGGTGGTGCTTCTCCCAGTCCTTGTGCTGGCAAAACGAGCCACAGTATCGTGCTGTGTTGCAACCACTGCAGGTTTCACTAGCTTTCCGGCCACAGTTCCAGCAACTCTAGAAGCAAAAGAGGAGGGGGAGGGATGGTAGAAATTAGTTAGCATCCTAAATTTTCTATTGAAAACAACTGACAATGAGCTGGGAGTCAACCATCTGCCAAGCCAACTGCAAGTTGACCAATGGCCCAAGGTTTGAGCTGCTGTAGGTGAATCAGTAAAATTTAAGATAGCTCCTCTGACATGTATTAAAACAAATAATGGAAAACGCATGAGAAAAGTTCCCCTCTAGAAGCAGAGAGGGAACACCACAAGGAAAGAAAGGGAGTAAAAGATCTAGCACACAGGAAAGAAATGTCAGCCTGTGAAAACCTCACTTTTAATCATGAGTAATGTCACTGGACTCAGCGGTACTTCTGGCAGCGAATAGTTAAGCTGGAGCCTAAATGTTTGGCAGGATGGGGAAGCCACCGCAGAATATGTATGCTACTCACTTTCACACAGTCTATAGCTATGCCAGCTGGATGCTGGAACACGGCCAATCTTTAAGTGATATTCCTCAACTACATTAAAAAAAAAATCCTGATTTCAGAATCAAACAAAGACCTAGATCCAAAACAATATTTTAAGGAAATTAGACTTTTAATCACAGTCAAGTGGCTTCTTTAGCAAATATCCAGGTGATAGTTCCATCCTCCCCTCTCTGACTTCTGTGTTTGGTTTTTCAGGGTTTTCTTGGCATGGGCACATACAGGCATATGGGGGAAGAATAACTGTTCAGTTCTCAATTGCTCTTTGAGATTAAAATCAAATGTACAGGGCATTCTCAATTCGTACTGATTATACATATAGACTAAACCAGGTAATTACAAATACATGTGTTGGGGATGTTTTTTTTTAATTCATAAAATTGTTCCCATCTTTCAAAACACTTTTTTAAAAAAGGTGGAATTACCAACACACAGAAACAGATGTTTCTGGTACTTAAATGTCAGGAATTCAGACTTCTTGTCTGGCATCACCTGGTTTTGATTCAGTATTCATTGTTTCAAGTTCATTTTGCTTAAACTCTGTCCAGTGCTGTAGAGGTAAAACCACACTACCACCTCTGGAAGTGAGTAGCTGTATTAGTCTTGAACACCTTTCCTGAAAAGATCTTTTATCACCGCAATGAAAAATAACTGGATGTAATTTAGAACACTGTACACAAGCACATGCACTCACAGACTTATTGACACATGCACAAAATGACTTGGCAAGGTAGTATTAGCTTTTCAAAGGGATACAAGGTCTCCTTCTACTGACTGGAATGGAAACAAATTGAGGATATACCTGGATTCTCCCTTTTGCTATTTCAATACTTCTCAAAAGTTGCACTGTACTTCCGAAATTTCATTTTGCCAACCTGATGTTTGCACTGTGATCAGTAAACACAGCGTGATTCTGCTCCAATCATGTTTATGTACGAAATCTCCCCATGCAGACTTTTCCAAAAAGGCATTTTTCCTCATATAAAAGAAAGCTGAAAATAACCAGCACCTGTTCAGATGCAGGGGACCCTCCCTTGTGCAGATCTGATTGCAGCACTCAAGTGCATGTTATGTGAACATTAAACTTTTTTCTGCTCAAGTATCTACTTAGTTAATAGAAGCCAGTTTCTGAGGCATCATCCTTTTTCCTCCCTTCTGAGGAAGGCGTATCCACACAGAGAGAACTATTCCTAGACTTGACTAGAACCATCAAACAGTATTTGGGTTTCATACCACAACACCTGTGTTAATATTAGTCAGAAATCAATCATTTAAATTTTAACAGCATAGGCTCAACTTTCTTATTAAAACAGTCATCAGTTAACTTATTAGCCTGTACGGAACATTAAAAGTGATAAATAAGTGCCAGATTTTAATGAAGTGACAAAGCTCTAAGCTGCTTCTTTACATGATTACTTAATGTATCCTACATTGTCTAGTACGTAATTTTGTCCACTGAATATATTATTTATAATTTAATAGGTCATTATGTCTTTAACATAATTGTGGGAATAAAAGCACATAAAATGCAAGAATTTCAAAATAAATTTTATAGCTCACATTTACACACACACACACAAAAATGCATTTAAGAATTATGATGGTGTAAATGAACATAAACAGAGATATGTGCCATAGGGAGCAGGTACAACAGCATCTGGATTTGTCATGCAGAACTCCCAGTACTACCAAATCCTCACCACTGTGACCACTGGGTGTACCATTCTCTGTATAAGCAGCAGAAAATGGCTCTAGAGACAGAACTCAATAACTAAATCTCTGGCAATGACGCTTTCTGTTCGCACTGCTGAAGGAGAGCTTCAGAATTCATGCTCTACCAAATTAAAACCAGGCTCAAGATGCTGGCTACTGTTATGATGTGCTTCATGCACCGCTTCTCACATGTTCCTAAGTTAATCATCCAGACGCTGTGGACAGAGCATGAGCTCACTGTGGGATTGACCATGCTCAAAGCATCTTTCCTTCTGGGAAGCTCAAGAGCTCAGTACAGGGCTAAGCAGGTATTTCTGTATCAGCCAAATGGAAGCTGAACTGTATGGACAATATCTCGGATAACATGGGACAACAATGTCAGGTTGATGACAAGGTGACAACTACCATACAGAAGATATGGATACTATATGAAGATATGACTATGGACTGTATGACATCTTAAGACTCTTTAGCTCCAAGCACTGACAAGCCTGGAGTACCATCTATGCTGGGACGATGCACTTCAAATACAGAAAATGAAATAAGGCAAATAAGATACAAAGAAAGGCTGTGAGAATTATTAGAGACTGAACACAAGCTATGAGGAAAGACCAAATGGACTCCAACAGAGATGACAGCCTGAGAGGTAAAGCAGCATCCAAACATCTCAGAGGCTACTGCAGTGAGACTGGCAATAACCATGAATTAACAGGAAAAATAATGAGATGTAACAGCTGTAGGAAGAACTGGAAAAAGATGTTATAGAAAATCTTTTTAAAGATTGGAATAAATTGCCTAGAGGCAACTGGAGAATCTCCATCGCTAAAACATAGGCAAAGAAGGTATATTGCAGGAATATCACAGCTAGATTTGATCATACATTGGGAAAGAGGGTAGGGGATCTCCCAAAGCCTCTCCTGGTCTATTTTCTGTCTTCAGGGAGACACCTACTATACTGCACTTCCAGCTAGTGCTTTACAGAGTTCCAGATGTAGTTAAAACTATGAGCAGGACTGGACTACAGTTTTATTCTGCATTGATTTTCCTGGGAAAGAGTGAGGTTATACAAAAGGCAAGATTCTCAGACTACATAATTCAATTTAACCTCACTACCTTGAAAATGCATTAATTCAGTGAAATTGGGTAAATTACAACAGATGGGAATCTCACTCAAAATCTATGCCACTGATCATATTTCATCCTCTTCTTTCAACCAGCAAGGAACATCAGTCATAGGTCAAAGCCTTATCTTAGGTCAGACTCTTAATTTTCATCCACTTAAGCTTCCATCTTTAAACAGCAGAATTCAGAAACTTCTGTACGCCATCATGAAAATTCTCAGAACAAAAGGTCTCCATTTCTGTGGTCTCCAATACCAGGACACGCATTTCTCAATAACTTTGTCCATCCCATCACTTTCATTTTTGAAATATTTAATCACAATTGAGTGTTTGTTTTCCTCTGACACCTCCAGCTGAGACTTGGTGTGAGTTGGCTTGAAGAGGGAAAACAAAAAAAAAAAAAAAAAAAGAAATGGATCCTGACACATCAAAGATACTCCGAACTCTGAAAGGCCATAACACAGTATCAAACATTGTTATATCATCTCTGACAAACTTCCACAGTTTACCAGGATAGGAAGCATGGCTGGCTATGAAAAAAATGCATTTTTAACAAGTTTGTAATCATCACTTACTCCATGGCCCCACGCCAAAGAGAAAAAGAAAAAAAAAGATGACCACAACCACAATGGAGAAGATTTTGAAAATTCTGTCAAAGACCCATTAGAAGGAAAAAAATACATTGGTTCTTTGGAAATTCCCACAGTGCTTCTAAATGCAGTTCTCCTCAGAAAGATTCAAGTTGTTAAATGTTTCTCATAAAGTTGCACCTATCAGTGCACATTCAAGGCCAAGCCACTGTTAACTCTGTGATGTATACCTGTGTTCATACAAACTAGCAGAGAGAGCTACATCCTGAATACAGAAGTGCAGAAAGTCACACAGAAGAGACATGCAAGCTGGCTGGCCAGGCTTACTTTAGCAGCCTGGGGCTCTGCCAGAGCTCACATCACAAACTGTCTGATCCTGTGCTGAACACATGGCTCTGGTGCCTCTCTACCACTCACCACTGCAGAGGACAAAGTGCTGCTTTCTAGGAGTTGCCCAGCCAAAAGAAAATTAAACATTAGCTGACATGTACAAACTCAACACCAGCCTAACAAATTGGGTTCGCCTGCATCACAGCATCTGATGCTCAGAGTCAGGTTTGCTGGCACAGTCCTGGTCTCAATGGATTGGTCAGCAGAGATTGAGCCCAGCTGCTTTCAAAATGTCAGGTAAGTGTGATGTTCACATACAACATAAGCTGCTGCAATATAAACAAGCCTTAACACTACACGTCTCGTAAAAGCAGTGTTGGACCAGTTACATACTGCTTTATCTGATCAGATGTCAGCATCTGCTTTCAGTAGAGAACCGAAACATTTGTGCTCCTTCACCATACCCAGCCCCCACCCTGCTAAAAGTGAGGAAGAGCACTGACTGTCAGATCTTTCTGTGGCATTTTATACCAGAGCAGAAAGACAGATGTTTTAATTCCCCCCTCCTACAATCTGGGCAGACAGTCTCTTTGCTAAGCTGCTCACCCTTGCCATTAAAATTGATTTGCACAACAGTAGATTGCAGCCAAAGCAAGTACGGCAGTCATTAAAGAGTAGGCTGCTCACACATGTTTCTGTACTCAGCCAAGTCAACTCCTGATGAATGGGTCATCTTTTGTCAAGCAACTGTAAGGAACTGGTAAAGAAATAATTTGTGGTTCAGGAACAATCATGCTGACAGGTAGGCCTTCTCTTGTCGTTTTGCTTTCTGGCCGCAGCATGCTCTGCTCACTGGTCTTCAACCAATCTCATTGTGATAACAGAAAATAATGACCATGTCCTTGTCGGTCACAAAAGCTTATGCTGAGAAAATCTTGGAAAATCTTGAAAAGTAAATGTGCAGATACTGATGGCAATTAAATCAAATTGAACTCTAACACAAGCAAAGGACAATGATTCAGAAACGAATTATTGGGTCAGAAGTAAAAACTTTACTATGTAACATGGCGATGCTCAGCACATTGCAGAACACTTCTTAAAATTCAAGATGCTCCCCAAAATTACACCTCTTCTTATTGGTCTTCTCACTGCCTTCAGTGACCTTTACTTAGCTCTGGTCTGCTCAACACATCAATGTTCTCTTGCAGTCATGGAGGTCACTTTTTCAGGTTTCACATATATACACACATACTTTTCTACGCGAGATCTCTAAAAGTTCTTGCATGAGGACACTACGTATAACCTTAATATGGCAATCATTAAAAAAATCTAGTCTTAGACCTAGAAATGGCTTCAGGCTGTAGAGAAGACAGCAAGAGAAATCATGCTACAAAGTCCTCAGAGCAAAGCAGCTCCAGGACCTCAGCTAGATCCATGTTGCATTTTACTAAATAACAAATGAAGCTGTAAGGGAGAAATCTTGAGAACAGACAGGGAGTGGCTGTAGCAGATGAAATTTATATCAGAAACATTAGAAATGTGGAGCCAAATTCCCGTCTCCTTCCATAGTTTCCACAGCCAAAAGAACAAATTACACCCGTGGGAGAAATATGCTGTCAGAAGCTGCATGGAGGTTATGTAGCAGCCTATATTGAGCTCTCTTGTTGACTTTGCTGTAATATCCCAGGCAAGGATAAGAAATGAGGAGCAATGCTTTGTCTTCCTCTATGCTCAGTAGCTGCTGCTACAGCACCCTCATATCTGAAACCAGAGATAGCTCTTGAAATACATACTTACAATGTACTGCTGAAAGTGGTAAACAGTATTGTAAGTAGAAAACTTTATAGAGATTTCCAACCTAGACAAATGAGGAGGGATAGTCACAAAGAGATTGAAAGATAATGAACAGCAAAGCAAACGTGAAGTTTTACTCCTCAACCTCATTGAACACAAGGTCTCAACTCCAAAGGAACAATTCTCAAACATTGGCAGAATAACCTCCTGTCCTGAAAGATGAAGGAAAAGGCCAGTCCATTTTTAGATGTGTTATCCAAAAAAAGAGTTAGCCAAAGGTAATAGGTAGTTGTAGGAAGCAGTGTCCTAAGTGGGTGGAGTTTGGCATAACTGGAGGCTGAGAAGGAACAAATAAAAACTGACCAGGCACATCTAGCTATTAGCTGTCAAGTAAGTACCACTGTCACCTGCCTTAAAATTAACCAAACATCTGTAAACATGTACTGAGATCTATTAAAACTTGCATTTGGCATCTCAAAACAACCATACTGATGTGCTGCTCATGACCACAGAGGTGAAAGCTGCAGGACAAAGCCACCAACCTCACTTGAAATTGGTCTTAATTATGTAGATTGGTCTAGGTCCAGAAGGCTTCTATTTTCCCTGAATATAAACAGTTACAGAACATTTGTAACCCTCTGAGCCACGTTTCATTAAAGTGAAATTATAAGAACTATTTGCCCCTTTTTAATTTCTACTTTCAAGAAGTGAGCAACTTCATAAGCAATTCTTGCTTATGTAAAGATGTCTGTTGTCACACAGCTTTCTCCAGAGGTACAACTGATCAGGAGCAAATCACAGCATACAAACTCTCCAGTCTCGGTGTCTACTTGTGGAAGAATGGGCTGTATGTACTGACACATAAGGTCTTCATCTGTCTTGCCTACACTACATCAGTTCACTAAACAGATTTAATTTACAATTTCCTCTTAGGCATTTACCTTTGGAATTTTGGTTTTGATAATAGGAATCTCTTGTATGCATACACATGTAAAATGACAGGTCTTTAATGATGCTAAGTCAGACAAATGCCCCTTCAATGAACACAGAGTAGGAAAAATGTCCTTGAATATCTTAGATACAAAATGCCAATAAATTGAATTTATGTCTCATTTAATCTGCAATGGAACAGTTAGTGCTTTAAAGGGTACATACGCTTCTCCTGGTCCCTTTCTTCCTGACAAACTTTCAGATGCTGAAAATCAATTCCTTTTGTCTCCTCATTATTCATCTGCTACACATTAAGGAGAACTCTGGGCATTCAGTGATCCCACAATGGTCTTTCATCTCCAGAGAAGCCTGGTATGAATTAAAATCTTACGCTCTCACAAATTATGGATGCATACTGCAGCATGCCACTGGCTTATCTGCTCATGACTTCTGCCAGTTTTCTTAGCATGCTGCAGCTACCTCATCTGCATCTTTCAACTTAAGTGACTCTTCTACAGTGCTGTCCATGCAGTCCAGGAAAAGTGCTTTGACATGCCCCCACACAGTGGGTACTGCTATCTATTCTCCTTCCAACTGTAGCTTCACTACAGCCAAGAGTCTAGTACAAGAACAATAAATAGTTAACAAAAGTAACATTCTTTGATTTGATGATTGCATAGAAGTAACATTTTACTGATGTAGTTTCTGTCATGTCTGTTTTTTAAGGGCAGTTTGAACTTAGGAAATTATTTATTGTCATCTGCAATAGACATAAAATTCTGCAACACTGATAAAACACACCCCGGTCTTTTGCTCTCAGCTTCCTGCTATTGGTGCTGATGTTTGTCCACTTCTCAACTCTCTATATCCTGCAGTCAAATTAGCACAATCAAATTAAGGAAACACTTGTAAATCCAAATTCACATGCTGTCCTACAGGAACCATCATCCTTTGCAAATAGCTTCCGTAGCCATTGCCTTCCCCCGACAAGCTTTTAACCACCTTGCTCTACAACCACCTTGCTCTAATCTCTTAAATTAATTAATTAATTAATCTCTTAAATTACTGTTTCTTTACTATTTCAGTGTGAAACATTTTCCACCAAACCATCTTGTTATCTATTCCATATCAGCACTTTGAAGAGCTTTAAAGTAAAGGTAGTGAGAAGCTAAATTAGAGGAGAAAGGTGCGCAATATCTAACACTAAATATCAGTTAAAAGGTGACACTGCAGCCCAAGTCCAGTAGCTATTTTGAGCAGATATTACCAAGAAAATTTGGGGTTCAGCATCTGCCTGTAATACATGTCCAAAGCAAATGAGCAAATAATTCATAGCGGGAACTGAATCCTGGTACCATGTGAATTGTCTGTGCCAGCTGGATTACAGCTAGCTCAAATACACCTAAGGTTTGCAGCCACTTGTCATCCTGATTCCTGCTCCAGGTTACTGTACAGATCCTATTTTCCACTGGCATCACAATGGTTTGCAATTCTTTGAACTCAAAGACATTAAAATACTTGAGAGAATGGAAGACAAAGACATGTTCTCTGCCTTTCTGTAGAGCAGCTGTTAGTAATTTTTCATCAGATGAGGCAAAGCAGGTTCAAGTCCTGACAAAAGCAACCTCCTAGCACGGGGCTGCTAGCTGGTGAAAGCATTTAGAGAGGTGGCCATCCAGAAAAGACCTTACTTACCTCACTTGAATCCTCTTGCTGATTGATAACAGCTAGTGCATCCTCTGCAGCCTGGCGCTTGGCTTCAGCAACGGTGCGCTCCATCTTGGCTCTCTCGGAAGTGATCATGTCATGAGCCTTCCGCTCAGCCTCTGACACTGCCTTCTGCAACTCTGCCATTGCCTGACGTTTTACTTCATTGACAGCTTCCTCTGTAAATGAGGGAAGAAATCCTTGTCAACACAGGATCTTTAGTGCAGGGCTATGCACGACTAAATCAGGAGACGCAACAGCTAGTCTGCTGCATTGTGTCTTCGTGTTTAGCAGGATGAAGGTGAACCTGGTTCCTTGCGACTCTTCAAGACTACCCAGATGCCTTACTTCTTTACCACCAAAGCTCTCACAAGCCTCTAAAACTCATGGTGGTTCTTGATAATTTTATTAACATATCGTAAGGTTCAGACTTTCCAGGTCTCTGGAGCATTATTTCTGTAATCTTCTGGAACATTTTATTCAAAAGAATCATAGAACGGCTTGGGTTGGAAGGTACCTCAAGGATGCAAGTTCCATCCCCTCTACCACAGGCAGGGCTGACCAGCCGATATTGCTTTTGCAGTACACCAGATCTAAGAATATGTTTGGCAAGAATTATTACAAAAGAAATAATAAGACATTTTCAGAATTGTATCACTTAGCTCTGAAAATTACTAGAGGATTAAATCATTAGCATTTTTTCTTTTTTCATTTACAGAATAAGTACATGAAACACCCAAGAGTTTATTACAAAATTTTAAATTCTTTGTTTAATATATTTTTCCCGGACACATACTTTTAAAAGCCAAAATTAAAATTTGTTTAATAACAATCTTTTGATCTACTGATCTCTTCTGTACACTTCTGCAGACCAACATTTGCACTGCAAAGATCATTTCCCGATGCTTGCTGGGCCCTGAGTGCCCTAAAGCCAACACGACTCCAGCACACAATTAACCCTGAGCAGGGACAGACTGCTTCATTACATCCAAAGCTTCATGTTTTTGTAAAATAACTAAGTCATCATGAGCTGTTTCTTCAGTATCTACTAGTGTCATATCTTTTATTCCAGAAAACATGCATTGTCACAAATTAATTATTTGGATTTTGATGAAGGAAGAGTGCAAAGATTTTACTAATGAACAATCTTTTAATTGACGACTAAAACAAGTAATTCCTTTTTTTTTCTAATTAACTGCTCTAATTAACAAGGAAACCGTCCTCCTCCTGAATTAGTTTATCTAATTTTCATCTTTATTCAAAGCAAAATGACAATGATTAATTGAAAATTTAATAAGCAGTAATTATTAACTTGGCAAACCTAGTACCAATTAACACTCTATTAAAACTAATTATGACATGTTTCATTCAAGTGTTTGCACTTAATTGTTTCATCCACTTAAAAACCACCTTAATTAAATGTTATGTTTAATTAAAAACATAGATTTCTAATAAAAATGTTTTACCGTAGATTAAAATTTAAGTACTACAACTGTGTTATGGATTTGAGTTGAGGGCTGTATCACATGTATTTGGGTGCTCACACATGTACATACACCTAACTCTTACAGACAGGCACTAAGTCAGTAGCTGTCCTGAGTTTTGATGCCTATACCTCTCTGAATTTGTTATTTCAAAAAAGCTGCAACACAAAGACTCCAATTTCAACAATAACACAAAGTACAACTGCAAAAGAGACTTATTTTCAATCCACGCACCCGCTAAAGTTGCATTAATTACAATGAAAGAAGCATTCTATTATTTGATGCCTGTATGGCAGTGAGATATGTGTCAGCTGATTTTTTGGGGTGGGGAAAGGGAGATTAAGAGATAAAACTTATGCCTCTATTTTTATGAGGCTGAAAATATGCCCTTATATTACCCTACCATAACTGTTGTTTAGGGGAAAGCCTCAGGAGAGATAAAAATCATATCCTTCAACCACACAGCCAAGGCTTAATTTACTTTGAATATTCAAGGTGAATTAAAATTCTATCTAAGTGGCAATACAGGACAATAATTTTTGCTTACGATCAAAGCTGCAGCTAGACTAATTGTCTATGCAAATCAGGCAATTTATATTTAAATTATGCATTCCTATTCTAGTCCCACAGGCATGCACAGATCAGCAAAGGGAATTGGTAGGACATTTGCAAGGTGCTTGAATATTTATTACCAACTGCAAACATTCACTGATTGTGAGAAAAGAAATATACACAGGCAAAAATACAGATGCAATTTTATTACCATTTTCATAAAAATGAGGCAACTTAAATACAGACGTTTTGCGTCTATGAACTGCAGTTATTAACAAAGCAAATTTCTTTGAGAAAATCTGTATTCTTGCTGGTATTTAGCTTTGTTAGGCATTATGCACTTTCAATATATGATGCAAGCTTAGTCTTACGCTGAGATGTTTGCAGAGCTTAGAAATGCTAGTTTGAACAACTGTTTTAAACTGGAAGCAGAGTACCCCAACATTTTACAAAGACTTCTAATGTTACAGTTTTAATCCTACCTAGCTACGTTTCTTCAGACCAGATATAGAAATAGAACCGTGTATTTTCACTTCTTTTGCAATGCTTTTGAGTGTATGGAGTATTTATGAGGCCATACCCCAAAGGAAAAGGAATTATACTTTATGCTAAAGTACAAACTATGGATTGGTACTTCCATTACTTTTGACAGCAGAATTCGTGCAATGAAATACCTGAAAGTGAAAGCAAAGAGTTACAGCCTTGTGCTTTTTGGTCACATCATCTCAATATAAACAGACAAAATTTCCCATCATCCATTTTCTCACATCTCCTACAGATATCTCATAGGCATAGAACACAGGCTTCATAGCTTCAGATAAGGGCACTAGTGAGACTGACCCTTGACAATAGTCAGAGAGAAGACTAAGAATGAAAGCTTCACAGAATACTGCCACTTTTCCAGAGAAAGGAAGAATGATTAGATTCTAACATCTGAAAACACAAATCAAAAAATTTTAAAATCAAACATCTAAGATGCATTTAAGTGCATCTTTCATTTTCTAGGTTGTGCTAAGCAGTCTTGGTATAATTTCTCTAGGTATTTTCAGAATGCAACTAAAATCTTTCAATGTGAATAACATTAACTTATGAAAGAAGCTCCAGGGAGCAGATAGCTTATGTGGAATAGACGTTACTCAACATGATCAGAGGTCCTAGATGTTGACTCAGGAGAAGCACTCAAGTCATCATTCACTGCTGTAACTGTACATGACTCACCAGTCAATTCCCAGCCACTTCTCTTGTATCATGGGCATACTAGATCTACATCATGACAAAAGGGGAAGTGATGGACAGGACAGGGATGAGGTACTGTGTCAACCATGACATCTGCATCATCTCCTTCTCTGGGTGAGCAGAGTAAAGAAGGCCACTGGGAGTTGGTATCAGAAATACCCTGAAAAATGTTTATTGACTTTGTATGAGAGAGCATGGTCACTCCGTGCCTGTTTGCTAATTCCAGCACTTCCCTGTGGACTGTGACTAGCAGTAGGTCCTTATGTGTGATGGTGGATGGCTGGAAGACAGTCTCCTCATCAGACCAAAAGCAGCTAAAACAGCAACCCACAAAGGTCTGGAAACACCTCAGTATCTGACAAAGAGAAACATTTCCAGAGGGCAAATCATCTAATCTATGATCTGACTGATCCTCTTCACATGCCTGCCTTACTCTTGACTACTAAGGGCACTGAGAACTTGTCTTGAACTCTTCATCTGAATAACTATTATTCAATGACATTAATCAGGACACTGACAATTTTCCACTGATGAAACTGAATTGGATTCACATGGTTTTAATTTACAAGGTGTTAGATACTACATACTTGTTCCAGCATCACAGAAGTACATGCTTCACTTAGTATATTTAATGAATCAGACTCTAAAAGTTTAAATTGAATCTGTTTTTCAATTATTTGCTGGTTTTTGAGGGTTGCTTATAAACTGTTTTTATGCCAAATTCTTTCAATTCAATGGACTCAGCTGTCTACACTTTGGTCTTTATGGTCATTTGAGACACCAAGATATCCACACTGAACTTGCAGCAATGACTCATGAGAGATTTGCAGACTTCTAGACTGGCAGTAGCAGCCATGCCAGGAAACTGCACAGCACCTCAAATGGCAATAGAGTCTCAGCCCACAGACCTGAATTGTGCTTTTACTTCCTTGAACTGATTCTGAACCTCCAACTTCAAGCACAGCCTTTTGAAAATGAATGTCAGTGATTTAGTGAAAGCAGTATACTTTCTGGTATGTTACTGATAGATGTATACACATATACATGTAGATGTATAAATATATAGATGTATATATATATATATATATATCAGGTCAGACTTCTTTTATTCTCCAGTTCACAGACATACTTACTAAAGGGAATCTGACTGAATGCCACAACAGAAATAGGACCAAAGAAACTTTTAAAACTTTGTTTTAAAATAACTGATGATACAAATGTTCACAAGATGACACATCACAGCTCCTTTAAAATGCTATCTCTGGATAAACACAACATGAATGCACATCCAATTTTACATGTCAGGCCAAAAGCTTCCATTAAACTTCTATTGCTAGCTTATGAAGAAATTTCTTCTACGGTTCTGCAACTAGGAGTCAAAAATAACCTGAAACACTAAGTAACATTAAAACTCAGTTATTTCAAGAAAAACCAAATTCCTGAAATTCCAATGAATAATGCTTCTATATGAGGATTCCTGGAACTGCATATTTTTTTCTTATTTTTCAGCTAGAATGTTAACATGAACATGGCAAAACAAACTATGAAAAATATTTGGGCCATAAAACAGCATTAAGTTACAAAGCTACATAATCCTTGGACAAAAGAAGAATTTGTAAATAGTTATTTTTCACAGAAACGGCAATGTTTCCAAAAGAACTAATTAACATACTGACAAATGTTAACTGTTAGTGATGAATCTGCATTATATTAACAACACAACCTCTTGTCTGATGTGACAATATGCCAGCAAAACATTCGTACATGTGTGTCCTGTATCGTGTCTAAAATACACCAAGCAATTAAAGGGTGTTTGATCAGAAAGCATTGGAACTGCTACATATTTGCCATTTAATCATTAACTGCTGCGCAGAAAGTTTCAGTACATGGTTGTAGAGGTGTTCAAAAGATATCTTTGTCACTCTGTATGCGTGTGTAAGCATAAGTGAGAGTACATGCTCAACTACCTAGTTTTCGTTCAACTAACTCCTGGCCCCTCTGAAAACAAAGATGCTCTGATAGTGATGGTGAGAGAGTAAAGGCTTCTCTTTAGTAGCCTAGCAGGATCCTTGCCAGGAGACTCCTTGGCTCAGGCAGAATTTCTGCGTGTTTAAACAAATTCTTCACATCCACATCTGCCCATGTTGCTTTCAACTTCAAGGAAGACATGAATGTCCATGTAACCACTGGGAGCATTTATGGAGACAATCTTGCTTGACTCCTTGAACACCTAGCAGGAGCATGAGCCCAGGCTTCACTTAGGGCTAATTGTCACAAAATCTTACTAAAAGAACAGCCACACTACAGCTCCTTTGGGAATATACTCTGTAGGGAATTCTCACATTAAATAGGTGAGAACCCTAAAATTGGGGGGAGGGGGGAAGAGAGGAAAGTCGCAAAAAAAATTTTTTTAAATTATTGTCATGTTGAAACTTTAGCATATCAAGTTTTAGCCTGAAACCTTTATAATTCTCGAAAATAGGAGTCCATGATGGAAGCAGCAATAGTTCCTTAACTACAGCAGCAGATGCTTCCATTATGAAGATTATTTCATGTTCTGATCGGTTCCAGTTTAAGATTATTAAATACAATTTCTTCTTGTTACTAGTAAGCCCTTTTTTTTTTTTTTTTTATTCCTCACATCAGTGTGTTAACAACTGCACACAGCTGCCAGAATACCAAGCTCTTGTTTTTAAACAGTTCTTACCAGCTTTCTTCCAGATCTCCTCTGGCACGTATCCAGATGCAGGCCTGTGAAGGAATTCCCGATGCGATTCTACAGGAGGAGAGAGGGGGAGGAGGGGGAAAAAGAAAGAGCATGGTAAGCAACACATGGGGATTGAACCAGACTCCAAGAAACACCTTTTCCCATTCCCTGCTGCTCAGGAAAAACTGCATGGAGTCTTTCTTTATGCAGAATAAGCAGGACACTGCGACAGTCACTCAGGAATGCCACACAGACCGGATTGATGTTTAGGGCTCCAGTGTCTCATCTTAAGCCAAGCTGAGACTTGTTGGCTTTATTTTTATCCTGCAGTTTCAAGTCATCCCTGTATGACAGCTTTTAAAGCTGGCTTTGAGAGACTGACTGAGAGGTGACATGCTTCATCCTTTGTAATTACGCTTAGAAAAGAAAGAAGAAAGCGCAAGCAGCCTGTGCTTGGCACTTCTGGCTCTGCACACACAGGCTGGCTGCTGACGGCTAAGATAAAAAGCAAGATGTCAATCCCATCATCAGTGAGTGATCTGCAGAGAAAGGAGGTGTGTTTCTGTATGCTCAGAGCTATGCTTTCCTGTCTCTGACCCGTGTGGGGAACTGCAGCCGCACAAGTTTGAAAAACAGAGCCTTTAACTTTAGGTTAAGCTCCCACATGCATCCACCACGCAGCCTCACGGGAGCACAGAACTCACCCACATATTTCCATCACATTTTGACAGTCCTTGCCCCCCTCCTCTCCTTCTTCCAAGGGTTTAACCTCTGCGCCTGAGCCTAAGAACTCTGAAATCAGCAAGATCCCGTCCACACTGACTTCAAAGCCACAGGATCAGACAAGGCAGAAAAAAAACCCTCACTTTGACCTGAAATTCAGCACACAGATCCACAGCAGATGAAAGCTGCTCTTTTCAAATATGGTTTGAAATATAATTTTTAAAATGATCAACTGTATGTTGAAGTAACGCAGGAGAAATGTTTCTAAAAATATTTATATTTACAATGCATATTATTGCCTGTGTGACAGAACTCAATTGTTGCAATAAGTTTTTTTTTATATCAGAAAGGTTTTGCATCTTTGAAGAGATTTTGCTTGAAATTAAGCATCCTTTATAATGTCTGAGTGTGACAAAAATGCACACATAATTCTTTTTAATTTTTACTGAGTATATTCATTTTAGTATATTAAATTCATTCTAAGATATCTTGTCAGAAATTAGTCCTTTGATGATAATGGTTAACCACTGGGTTTAGCAAATTGGGTTTTTTATCCCTTTATATGGACATGCAGTACTGTTTATATACAGTAGGCTACAGAAACTTGAAAAAACACATTTAGAAGCTGATGTTTGATCCTGCGGCTGGCTACCAGAGATGGGAGTGATGGGGCAGGTTCAGCAGGCAGGCAGCAGGGAATCCCGCTCCCTGCCTGCTGCTCCACAGACACAGTTTCCAGCATAGGAATCTGCAGACTCCAACAGGGCAGACTGCAGTTTCCCATCTGACAGGCAGCTGAGTGGATTTCCCCAGCTCTTCTGTTTATCTCTAAAAATGAATTTTTATGGGCAGAATTTCACACCTCTCAAACACGAAACAATTGGGGGGGGCATAGGGGGGGAGGGAGGGGGGGTGGTACTTAAAGTTGTGTGCAAGAATAGCTAACTATGTACGTTGGTTCAATTGACGTGGTAGAGGACGTCAGCCCCAGTGCTGGAAACGTGCAAATAATTGGTATCAGTTGGCCCATGTGATACTTGAGACTACAAATACAATTGTGTACACTTCTCCTGTTCTTTGGAGGTGTTAAGGCTTATGGGAACAGTGCCAGTTCAGCCAGTGACAGAGTAGGCAGAAGAAAGCTCAGGAAAACTGAAGGCGAAAAAATGAAAACACTCTTATTTGCTTTCCTGCACTAAACACAAGACACGGCCAGAGTCCAAATGTGGCAGAACAAAAGGTTGTTGTGTTTGCATCATGTGCTTTGTGCTGAATTTTCCTTTCTGTGATTTAAGGTACTAACCATCACGGGGGAATCACAGCCTTGATTCAAGCCCTCCACCACCACAGTATTAAAAATCATAGAATCATAGAATCGCTCAGGTTGGGAAAGATCTTAAAGATCATTAAATCCAATCATGACCTAACCATGCTACCCTAACTCTAACAACCCTCCGCTAGATTGTGTCCCTGAGCACCACATCCAAACAGTTTTTAAACACATCCAGGGATGGTGACTCAACCACCTCCATGGGGAGCCTATTGCAGTGCTTAACAACCCTTTCTGTAAAGAAGTTTTTCCCCATATCCAACCTAGACTTACCCTGGCAATGGAGAGATGTGGAGCTGATTTTTCAGTACACGTGACTTTCCAAAAATGGAATCCAATGACATAAATGACCAGATTGCCAGCTAATTGTTAAAATTTCCAAAACATAAACATCAATCAAGCTCTTATTCCAACCACAAATTATTTACATGAGGAATGAGATCCTCTGCAAGAAGAATTAAATCAAGAGCTTGTGAGAGACTTTCCCATTGTTTGGAATGGCACACAAGAAAAGACAAGAAGCACTTATGAAGATAATAAAATACATATTTTCCAAGTAAGACAAATATTATTAACATGACTATTGTTTAGTCAGTGGTGATGAGTCCATGAAACAATTTTCTTCTGGGGGTAAAACTACAGGATGTGACTAGAGGATGTAAGTTTTATATATATATATATATATATATATATATATATATATATA